TCCGGGACTCAGTTCAACCTCTGTAGGGAGCTGTAGGCAGGAAGTTCCGGGACACCGCCCATCCGCCGCAGTGGAGTCCCGGACAGGAAGTTCCGGGACTCAGTCCAACCTTTGCTGCAGAGCTTCAGGCAGGAAGTTCCAGGTGGCACCGGTCTGCCTGCGCAGAGCTTGCCTCCAGTAGGGCTCCCTAGACGGAAGATGTTTTTAACCTTATCCTGGGAATTTAGCCTTCAGTCCCATGTGAGAACCCGTGCCAAAAGTTATGTGCAGGAAACTTTGGTGTACTTGGACTCTGGGTAGGACATCATGACCGATATGTGGAAGTGGGCTAGAGCAGGCCATCGTTTAGTCTATTTGTGATTCTTGTGAATAGTCAGGACCCGTTACTGTGGGCGCTATGTGTCCTGGAGAATGGACAGGCGTGCGTTACACCTACAGGATCCAAGCCTACCAACTGTGCAAGGGGGAAGGAGGAAAGAGCTTTATTTGCCCCTTTATATTACCTGGAGACTCCAATAATTGTACTCAGGATCCAGGTATTAAAACCAAAGCTATCGCCATACTGAGTGTTGGAGAAGACATGGACATTCAGGATTTTTTTTTTTTTGCTGCTAATGGTGCTGTCATGGATTCAAAAAGAAAAGGAAAAAAAAGCTCACAAAATGTTTTTCTTTGCCTTATTTATTAAAGAAATATTTTCCCTTGTGTACCAAGAATCATATGCAAAAATGTCCACAGTAGCAAAACACCTGGAGACAGTCCATGAAAGAGTATGAATAAATGAGTCCCACCCAATAGAGCACTGTACACAGCCCCAGAGTTCTATAGAGGGACCATTAGAGAACCATCACAATTTACACTGCACAATTCCCCCTTCCATGTTTTAGGGCATTCCTGCATGACATCCTCTAGTTAGTCAGTGGGTTTCAGCTCCAATTTCCTAGTGGAAAGCAGCCCATCAGTACATGCCAACAAGTTGATCTATATATGCCCATTCGCCTCAGATCTGCACAGGATTTCTTTTTCTCCGAACTTCCTTTTAAAGCTGGTTCTGGAAATAAATTCCCCTTCCCTCCTTACCGGCCATTCTTGGAAGAAAATAATGGGAAGTAGTTGTCTTTTTTGTCATCTGTTCATAAAATTACCTCCTGCAGCTTTAAGTTATCAGTCATATTCAGTGCTAATTTAGTTATTAACATTTCCAGTAAATTGAAAAAGTCATCTTGCAAGACCTGCCTTCAAATATCCACCTCTGCTCAGGGTGTTTTTAGGTGTCTGTGGTTACAGAAATAGAGTGTGCTGGGATGATGGGGGCGATGGGTAGTGAAAGCCCCTCTGGACCACTGTGAGGTGGTGGTGTTTTGTCCTCCAGGATAGATCTTTTCATGTGGGCACATTTTTTTTTTTTTTATTTCTAAGCGGCTAATAGCATGAACATTACAGATTAATTTGTTTACTCAACAGATATTTATTAAACATGAAATATCAGGCACTTTTCTAAGCACTTGGAATACTTTAGTGAACAAAATTGACACATGTGGTGCCCTCTTTAACCTTACATTTTCATGGTGAGAGACAACATAGTCAGGAAGTTACATTGTATGTTCTCAATGGATAAATACTATGGAAATACACATGTATGAAATATATGCATTTAAATTACATAGGGGCAGTAGTTGAGGAAGCTTTTGGTGTGGAAGAGACACTTTTGAGTCTGATTTTCTGGTGAATCCTCAGGTGACGGTGGTATGTAGACGATTGGCGGTAGCTTCTCTGGCACAGGGAGCACGTATAGGGCTTTTCTCCTGTGTGAATTCTCTCATGGGCCCTCAAGTTGGTTTTGTGGCTGAAGGATCTTTCACATATGCTGCATTTGAAAGGCTTCTCCTTTGTGTGAATCATCTGATGCACATGTAGGTCTGACACCTGGAAGAAGCCTTTTTGACACTCAGCACAAACAAATGGCCTCTCATTTCTGTGTCTTCTCTGGTGGGCTAAAAAGTGACAGAGATACCTAAAAATCTTGGGACATTCCTTACATTTGTATGACTTTTGAGCTCCACGGTATTTTTCATGGTGTCCCTCACATGTAGAGTTTCCCTTATTGCTCTGGTGGGCAGGGACAAACTGGGAGGAGGATTGGTTTGAGGTGGGGAGAAACTCTGGTTGCTCCTCCACAGGGACATTTTGGTAAGAAGGTCCCTCCAGGGGCCCTTTCTCAGAATTAGATGTGACTACCCTTCTGGAGTTGTGTGGGTTCTCACAAGAAGCACCTCCATCTTCTAACCTAAGACAGTTTTCTTCCTGGATAATGAGTAGGGAAGGTGTTTGAGTTCCTTGACAATTAATACTGTCATTTGCTTGAGTATTTTTCCAGAAATTGTTGCATGCATTTTCTTTATCTTCATTTCCTGTGGAAGTAAAGAAGCCATGAAATGAAGTTGTACTCAAGAAGGGGCACACATAGAATAACCCTCAGGGTGGAGGTCTGCCTGACTCACCTTGTCTTGTCTCCAGGGGAGTATCCTGAGGAGCCTGGAAGGATATCCCTTTATTCTCTCCTGTTGTGTTTTCTGCTGATAGCTGTTTTTTGAGATGAACAATAACTTCTTTTAAGGGCATGTTCTCAGAAAAAAGGGCTTCCTGTCCTTGCATGTGAACACGTACCTGTAAAGAAAGCCATTTCATTTTTATCTGTGAGTCAGTTGTGTAAGGAAAAAACTTTATGGAAAACTTGCCCTCAACAGACTATCACAAGATTTCTCAACTCTGAGTTACCACACCTTGTCTAACCCTATCTCTGATAGTGCCTTTTCCATTGTTCACAAGTTGTTATGCTTTATAAGTATCTATGAACATTGAATTTGTAACTATAGAATAATTATGCCTGGGGAAAATGCTGTTTCTGGTGAACTTCTGGCCACAATATTTTCATCAACGGGGCAACACATAACCTTGGTATGTGTGTATCTACTGAAAGCATCTCATTTAATATGCATTCTTGATTAGTTATCACTGATTAATAAAATTATATTTTTTCATGATTAATAATATTATATTGTGGATCCCTAAGGAAATAAAAGCTCCTGTCAAGGTAATTCTTAATCCTTGAGGTCTTTACTCAAATGTTAATTTGTTATAGATTGCCACCACTTCTCATAAACTGAATTTATTAACTTCAATTAATCAATGTGTTTGGCTCATATATATCCTCAGAATAAACAGATACTCATTTTCTGTTAAGTAGAACAGTGAAAATTCTCCTTGGTGAGAAAGAGTGGTTGGGAGAGAGTGTGATCTGATGAAAAATCAGGTCTGCTATGACGTTCTTCTATTTCCAGGCAACTGTACTAGACTGTGCTCTTCCTGACTTTGCTTTGTCTCTCACCAAAGTTCATAACCATCTACTCACTAAGACTGGTGGTTCCATGCAATCATCAGTCAGGTCTTCCATTAATTTCTCCAGGTTTCTTCCACTTGATTCCCATTTCTCTTTCAAAATGGATCTGTCCCTGCAGTTTCCATTAATTATAAACTGCTCCAGGACCAATCGAGAAATAATCTCATCCTTACTATGCTTTTCCGGCTGCAACCATGAGTGAAAAATCCCATGGAGTCTCTGCAGTTCCTTTCTTGCATTTGAGTTACCATTGTCTGGAAGTGAGTTGAGCTGAGAGCTTGAGAATTCAGAGATGATCTCTCCATTCTGGACAGCAGATCCTTGGGTTCGTCTAAATTCTGTATTTTCTAATTCAAAATCATTCTGGGATGTTTTACACTGACATGAGTTTGTGAGATTTGAAGCCATTCTTAGCAAAAGTTCTCAGGCTCAACTTTGGCACTTTAGTCTCTGCTGTCTTGTTTCTCTGAGAATCTGTTTCAGCGGTTGGTGGATGCTTAACAGATGTAAGCTAGAAACAGAAGAAACATACAGTTAGTTAAACACAAATGAATAGTGCAAAATTTCAGGGACAGATGCTTTTATGGATGAATTCTATCAGACATTAAAACACTGTAGGAAGAAACTCTACCTATTTTCATCAATGAGGTCATCACTTCTCAGATAACAAAATCTTACAAGTATATTCAAATAATTCAAAGCAAAATATTTCCAAATCAAAATTTTCAAAATGCAAGAAGTTTCAATTAAGCCCCACATGGTGGCCCTGTAGTTCCAGAGACTCAGGAGGCTGAGGCAGGAGGATTGCAAGTTTGAAGCCAGTCTCAGTAACTTAGTGACACTTTGTCTCAAAATAAAAAATAATAAGGGCTGGGAATATGACCTACTCCTAGAGCACCCCTGGGTTCAATCTCTAGTATCCCCCAAAAAAGTTTGGGTTAAAAATCATCAACTGAATTTACCATGTTAATAGATTATAGAAGAATATAACATAATCATATGTAATAGTAGATGCATTTAAAATGAATGTTAGTACTCATTTCTGAAGAAGGCATTTAATAAACTAAAAATTTGAGGAAACATCCTTGATGTGAGAGTGTTTTTATAAAATTACAGAAAAATATTCTTAAAAGTTTTCTCCCTAAGGTCAAGAGGCACATATCCTATATAATCTCTGAGACATTAGACTGTTTTTTAACCAGTAAAATAAGGAAGGAAAATCTATGAAATATCATTATAACACTCCTTATTTTATTACAGAACAACGTTCAACAAATATTAGTCTTAATGAATTTAGCAAGGTGTCCAGTAGAAGGCTAATGTATCAAAATGAACTGATTTTGTATTATTGTGTTATCAATTATTGATAGTTAAAAATTAAAAAGAATAAACCTTTCCACTTATATTACCATGGATTGGAAGAATCAACAATACAAAAATGTCAATTACATCCAAATTCCTTTATAATTCAATACAATCAAGAAAATTCAGCAATACAAACCCACTTTTTATCTTGTGTGTGAAATTTGACATGATGATTCTAAGGGCAACTCACTAAAATGAATATGCTTGTATTCTCATTGATGCATAAAGGAGATGTTACATTTACTTTAGAAAACCTGGTATTCAGAATTGTTTCTCAAACCCTTTGTGATGTATGTAAAAGATTTTAAAAGTCTAGTAAACCTTTTATAGGTTATACAATCCAGGAATGATTTTCTCAAGGACCCAGGAGCCATGATTTTAAAATGTCATCATGGTAGATTGGGTGCATATTTCCCACTTTCTATGAGATGGAACTAGCCTAACTCTTGGCTCCAAGTTGTAAATATGCCTCAAAGACATATAAGAAAAAATTTGCATCCTCACAGTCTGTGACAGTCCTATGTTTCAACCTAAATATATAATGTTAGATGGCACAGATTATGACTTATTCATATAAAGGGATATTTGTCAGCAATGAAAATAGGCAAACAGCTGCTTCATCAAATTAAATTAAAGTTAAATTCAAATAATAACATGGACTGGAATAACCCATACACTAAATAATACTTTTTGTTTATTATTATACAGTATATGGAATTCAGAATTTATGTTATAGATATTAATACACATCATCACATGGAAATTCAGAAGTGTATTATTGGTATTAATATATCATCCACACTATATGAGGGTATCGGTTACTTCTGCAGCTAAGGAGAAACTGGAATGGCATGTGGGGGCATCCCAGGAGGACTCTACCGCCATGGTTTCCAGGTTTAGTTGGTAGCGGTTTATTTTTTCCCGAGGAAACTAGTTACACAGTAGTACTGGCTCTCCCTGTGCTATAGACTACACTTCTTCTGTGGTGACCTTGCAAGTATCCCCCAATACTGCAGGATTTTTAAATTTCCTGTATAGGCATCAGACTTTAACGAAAGTGCTCATAAGAGTGTAAGTGTGGTCTTACATTATAATTACATTATAATTCATGTGATAAAGTTCAATAAAATTCATGCAATATGTTCTTTCAAAAATCATCAGAATTTATGAGAAAAGGTGGATAGTCCACAGTAGCGAAAACATGAAGACAATTTTGTCAACAGATGAATAGATAAGAATATGGAGGATAGATAGGAAGAGAAATGGGGTGGGAGAGAGGGAGAGAGAATGGAATATTATTCAGCCTTTAGGGAAAAAAATGTCCTACTGGGCTCAGTGGCACATGCCCATAATCCCAGCATCTCAGGAGGCTGAGGCAGGAGAATTGCAAGTTTGAGGCCAGCCTCAATACCTTAGTGAGGCCCTAAGAACTTGATGAGACCCTGTCTCAACATAAAAAATAAAAAGGGCTGGGGACGTGGTTCGATGGTTACATACCCCTGGGTTCAATCCCTGGTGCCAATAAACAAAGAAAAAGGGCTGGAGATGTGCCTCAGTGTAAGGTGCCTTAGGTTCAAGCCCTATCACTGCAACAAATATCTCACCATCACTTGTATACCTTAGATTTAAATAATTTTCCCTTTCTAATTATACGTCAGGGAAGTTGAGCAGATGGGGAAAGAAAAAGAGGCCAAAATCCACATAAATGACATTTTTCTCTGGGCTGAACACCATATCAACATTTGTCCTTGTTTTTTAAAATTTGCTTATCTGTTTTTAATTTCTGTCCTTTGCCTTTAGAGTCTGGCATCTAGCAGAGGTGGAATTCTGTATGCATGTATTGAACTTGATTTGTGATCACAAATCACATTACCTGAATAACAATAGGCACACCATTTGGAATAAGGATATAACATCTAATCACCACTTGTTTTGGTACTGGAGATTGAACCCAGGGTACTTTACAAGCTACATCCCCAGTTGTTGTTGTTATTTTGGTAGCAAGGATTAAACTCATGGCACTCAACCATGGAGCCACATCCCCAGTCCTTTTTGTGTGTTTTACTTAGAGACAGAGTCTTACTTAGGTGCTTAGGGCCTTACTAAATTGCTGAGGCTGGCTTTGAACTTGCTATCCTCCTGCCCCCACCTCTTAGTTGCTGGGATTAAAGGCATAAGCCACCACACCTGGCCTAATCCCTTTTTAAAATACATGACAGCAGAATGCATCACAATTCTTATTACACATATAGAGCACAGTGTTTCATATCTCATGTTGTATATAAAGTATGTTGACACCAATTCATGTCTTCATGCATACTTTGGATCCTGATGCCCATCACATTCCACCATCATTTCTAACTCCCTGCCCCCTCCCTTCCCCTCCCACCCCTCTGCCCTATCTAGAGTTCGTCTATTCCTCCCATGCTCCCTCCTCCCTACCCCACTATGAGTCAGCTTTCTTATGTCAGAGAAAACATTTGGCATTTGGTTTTCTGGGATTGGCTAACTTCACTGAGCATTATCTTCTCCAACTCCATCCATTTACCTGCAAATGTCATGGTTTTATTCTCTTTTATTGCTGAGTAATATTCCATTGTGTATATATGCCACATTTTTTTATCCATTCATCCACTGAAGGGCACTAGGTTGGCTCCACAGTTTAGCTATTGTGAATTGTGCTGCTATAAACATTGATGTGGCTGTGTCCCTGTAGTGTGCTGTTTTTAAGTCCTTTGGGTATAGACCGAGGAGAGGGATAGCTGGGTCAAATGGTGGTTCCATTCCCAGTTTTCCAAGGAATCTCCATACTGCTTTCCATATTGGCTGCACCAATTTGCAGTCTCACCAGCAGGTATGAGTGAGCCTTTTCCCCACATCCTCACCAACACTTATTGCTGTTCGTCTCCATAATAGTTGCCATTCTGACTGGAGTGAGATGATATGTTAGAGTAGTTTTGATTTGCATTTCTCTAATTGCTAGTGATGCTAACATTTTTTCATATATTTGTTGATGGACTGTATATCCTCTTCTGAGAAGTTGGACACAATACCTTTATTTTATTCATTTTTTTTTATGTGGTGCTGAGGATGGAACCCAGGGCCTTGCATGTGCTAGGCAAGTGCTCTACCACTGAGACACAACCCCAACCCTCTCATCCCTTTTCTATATCATTGCTTTATTTTTTTTGTATCTCTCATTTTATTAGGGTTAGCATTTCAACAATTAATATTTTTAAAAAAAGCAATTTCATAAAATCAAAAAGTGAGGCTTTTTGGCGGGAGTGATACAGGGTATGTGAATGTCTAATTGATTTGTTAGATGATGTTATTTGACATTTCGGTGTTGACCATGTTGGGACCCATGACCAAACACCCAGATCTCATCAGAGTTGCAGGCAATTACCTCAAAACATTGTAGGCAAGCTCTGAACACTCTTGCTTCTCCCTAAGCCATTCATCACTGAGCTAGTCAACTACAGAAAAGGCTAATCTCTCCTCACACCCTCCCTCCCTCCCTCCCTACCTGGCTCCCTCTTGCCCTCGGGGAACGTGCAAAGCCGTTCCTTATTCTACGAGGGCTTTTGGAGGTGGCTCTAAGTCCCACCAGTTCCATTTTAGAGTTTGTGTCTGAGTAAGTTGAGTGCTCTCTTTTTAGGTCCTGGAATCTAACCCAGGGGCGTGCTACCACTGAACTACATCCCCAGCCCTTTCAGTTTTTAATTTTGAGCTAAGTTGCTGAGGCTGGTCTTGAACTTGCAGTCCTTCTCCTCCCTCAGCCCCAAGGACTCGTTGGGATTCCAGGTGTGCCCCACAGCACCCAGCTTTGTCTCTCTCTGTAGGACCCATGCCTTATTCGCTCCAACCTCACAAAGGTTCTATCCTAGGATCAGAATTTGTAGGGCAGCCTCAGTAGCTTAGCGAGATCCTCAGCAATTTAGCCAGATGTTCTCTCAAGATGAAAAAAAATCAAGGTATGGGGACTTTGTTCAGTGGTAAAGCACCCTTGGGTTCACTCCTCAATACCAAACAGAAACGCTCTG